AAAATAATAATAATCAAAGGGCAAACAATTCACAGAATGAAACAATGAACAATGTCCCTGACTGTGTCTGTAATACCAACATGTTTCAAGCAGACCACCATAGTCCCCGTGCCCAAGGACACTAAGATAACCTGCCTAAATGACTACTGACCCGTAGCACTGACGTCTGTAGCCATGAAGTGCTTTGAAAGGCTGGTCATGGCTCACATCACACCATTATCCCAGAAACCCTAGACCCACTCCAATTTGCATATCGCCCCAACAGATCCACAGATGATGCAATCTCTATTGCACTCCACACTGCCCTTTCCCACCTGGACAAGAGGAACACCTACGTGAGAATGCTATTCATTGACTACAGCTCAGCATTCAACACCAAAGTGCCCTCAAAGCTCATCACTAAGCTAAGGATCCTGGAACTAAACACCTCCCTCTGCAACTGGATCCTGGACTTCCTGACGGGCCACCCCCAGGTGGTAAGGGTACGTAACAACACATCTGCCACACTGATCCTCAACACGGGGGCCCCTCAGGGGTGCTTGCTCAGTCCCCTCCTGTACTCCCTGTTCACCCATGACTGCATGGCCAGGCACGACTCCAACACCATCATTAAGTTTGCCGACGACACAACAGTGGTAGGCCTGATCACCGACAACGATGAGACAGCCTATAGGGAGGAGGTCAGAGACCTGGTCGTGTGGTGCCAGGATAACAACCTCTCCATCAATGTGACCAAGACAAATGAGATGATTGTGGACTACAGGAAAAAAAAGAGGACTGAGCACGCCCCCATTCTCATCAACGGGGATGTAGTGGAACAGGTTGAGAGCTTCAAGTTCCTTGGTGTCCACATCACCAACGAACTATCATGGTCCAAACACACCAAGACAGTCGTGAATAGGGCACGACAAAGCCTATTCCCCCTCAGGAGACTGAAAAGATTTGGCATGGGTCCTCAGATCCTCAAAAAATTCTACAGCTGCACCATCGAGAGCATCCTGACTGGTTGCATCACCGCCTGGTATGGCAACTGCTCGGCCTCCGACCGCAAGGCACTACAGAGGGTAGTGCGTACGGCCCAGTACATCACTGGGGACAAGCTTCCTGCCATCCAGGACCTCTATTCCAGGCGGTGTCAGAGGAAGACCTTTAAAATTGTCAAAGACTCCAGCCACCCTAGTCATAGACTGTTCTCTCTGCTACCGCATGGCAAACGGTACCGGAGTGCCAAGTCCAAAATACTTCTCAACAGCTTCTACCCCCAAGCCATAAGACTCCTGAACAGCTAATCATGGCGAACCGGACTATTTGCACTACCCCCCCACCCCCACCCCCCACCCCATCTTTTTACGCTGCTGCTACTCTGTTAATTATTTATGCATAGTCACTTTAACTCTACCCACATGTACATATTACTTCAACTACCTCAACTAGCCAGTGCCCCTGCACATTGACTCTGCACCGGTACCCCCCTGTATATATAGTCCAAAAGACTTCTCAACAGCTTCTACCCCCAAGCCATAAGACTCCTGAACAGCTAATCATGGCTGCCCGGACTATTTGCACTGCCCCCCCCACCCCCCACCCCATCTTTTTACGCTGCTGCTACACTGTTAATTATTTATGCATAGTCACTTTAAATCTACCCACATGTACATATTACTTCAACTACCTCAACTAGCCGGTGCCCCCGCACATTGACTCTGCACCGGTACCCCCCTGTATATATAGCCTCCCTACTGTTATTTTATTTTACTTCTGCTCTTTTTTTCTCAACACTTTTTTGTTGTTATTTTATTTTACTTTTTTATTTAAAAATAAATGCACTGTTGGTTAAGGGCTGTAAGTAAGCATTTCACTGTAATGTCTGCACCTGTTGTATTCGGCGCATGTGGCCAATAGAATTTTATTTTATTTTATTTTATTTGAATGTGCAAGAATTGGCAGGAAACAGCTGAGTCCATTCTGGAGAGCTGAGTGCATGCATTCTGGAGAGAGACACGCCATATCTTCACCACACACCTCTCCCCTTCTTCTTGTTGCAACATTTTAAATTATACTCAAGACACGTTATCTTCACACATATTTTAGATGCTTTTCACTGACACATTGTGGGCTTCCCAAATAGGCACAGGCCTACACTGTGATCTGTAACAATCCACAGCATTTATTATTTTTTTAAGCTAATGATCCTCTGTAGCTAAGTCATGCTCTCTGGTGAAGTATTTCGAATGTTTTTATTTAGAGACAAGTAATTATATAATTTGGGCAAAACATAAATTTACTTTAGGGGAAGCCAGCATCCTAACAGTGCACTGTGCATCCGCCAACTTTCCTTTCCAATTCGCAAGAGGCTGAAACCAGAGATCTGTATATAATGACGAGATGCTCATGTCTTCACCCTAACAATGGGAGTTGTTGTCCAAAAGGTGGGAAGGCAGGCGACATGCTTAGGTCTGCATATGATGCCCATAGAAACACATTGGACTTATTCTGGACAGATTTTGGCGAGATTGAGCCCTTCCTTGCTGCTGAAACTCTCTCACCGGAGAAAGCATCCGAGTGAGCAAAACAACGCCCCCTCTGTCTTACCATATGCGGTCATGTATCTGATGCTGTCTGGACTGAAATATTATGACATGCCATACTCCTTTGGTTCAGACAGCATCAGATACATGGGCTACACATACTGAGAAAGAGCGGCGTTGTTTCGCTCGCTCAGATGCTTTATCTGAGATTGATGTGTATTTCTGTCGGCACACGTCTTGGTCAAATAAATGATCAATATTTTTATGTTTTATTTGGACAGGCAAAGAGGTATGGTAGGGCGGGCCAGGCCCCCTAAGGCCTGCCCATTCCTCCTCTGAGGAGCCTCCACTGGAGTGTTGTGCAAGCTGTACTAAGTGTATTTATACCCCTAAGCTCTTACAGTGCGCCATTGATTATTCATTCCATTGTTTCGCTGATAGGCAGACTGTTACTGGGTTTGTGGGTCGGGCCAATCATTGCCATAAGGAACCCTCTACAGATTTGCCCATACATTGACATTGCTATATGTGACTGTTCATGTAGTTTTATATATCGGTGCCTCTTCCCTCTATACTTTTGTGTATCTCAGCTCAGTTGCCCCTTGGTGCTCTGATGTAGTTATGTGAGTCTCTAGTGGCATCCATCAATAGCTCAGAATTCTTTTCAAGTTCAGAGTTATCCACATTGAGTCTTTTTTTAAATGATCTATCTCTATAGTTATGTGGCCTCTCTCTGTCACTCCTCTGTTGTGTGGCCCTACAGCTCTCTATCTGAATGCTACTCTCTCTGGGTCTATGGCTCAGCTCTCTCCCCCTCTCTCTCTCTCTCCCTCTTCCTCTCTCTCTCTCTCTCTTCTGCTGATGAGGCTCTGGCTGATGCCTGGCCTGCATAAAGTGAGCAGGCAGCAGCCTGGGTATAGTCTGCCCTGAGGAAAATCTCAACACTACTGATACTCTGCTTCACTACATGATCATGGTGACTGAAGAGAAAAGAGACTCCGGAAACACTCATAGAGCTAAATATGCTCCTCAGACTAGAGAGGGAGCCCATTCTCCTCAAGATGGCCTGGTAGATATTCAGAGTACATCTGACTAGCAAAAGGAAGGAGTTAAGTGAAAACATAAACAATAATTAGGCTACCTTGGTGATACTTCAACAGTGATCATGTTCCCTTATGTTCATTCCTATGTGAGAATTCTAGATTGGAAAGAGATATCCTATGATTGATTAAATATACTGAGTCATTAAAGGTTAGTATGAGTAAAAAGGAAATATCATACCCGTGCTTGTGTGTGTACTTGCGCTCTATCCTGTGTCTGCATGTGTGTGTGACTACAGTATTAACATTGCATGTGTAAGCTATATAACGCAATAAGGGATGAATGATGGCTATATATGCCTACATTGCTGTTTGCGGTGTTGTTTCTATTGAATGGGGGAGTATTCTCTATGTAAACTGTATGCTTGTTCTATGGCAGGATAATTTACTTAACTGGCCTCTAAGTGTCGCTCCTGTGTCCTGGCTTAACCACCACACTGACTGTGTATCAGTAAAGAGGAAGAGGCGAAGCGAGAGGTTTCACTCTCGCCAAAGTCTGTCCAAAATAAGCCCAATGTGTTTCTATGGGCTTATTTTGGACATACGCTTATCGCCTGCCTTCCCGTCTTTGGTACAACGACTCCAATTGTTAGGGCGGAGACATGAGCATCTCGTCACTACATACAGATCGCTGGTATCAGGCAAGCGGTGCCAACTAGTAAGCGGTTAGGCGAGAGCTGTCCATGGTGCTGAATTCAGACTCCCGCGTAACTCCGAGTGGTTTCTTTATTTACGTTTTTTGGGGGGTTTCTTCATTTTCATTAGTCATACTTTATTTCCCCTTTCTCTTCCACAGATGTTTTACTGTTCATAGTCACCAGACATTTATTTAGGACCTTAGAATGAGAACGTTTCAAACCTCAAGTGAATTGTGTTTGGCTACAAGCATTACACAACATTCATTTGACCGTAGCCTATATTTACCTGAGAGTTATATAAATATATTTCAGGCCTGGACACTTATATTTCACTAGGCTATGTGCCAATTAGTTTATTATACCTCATAATTTCACCTTTAATGCGAATTTACAATGAACGCTTTTCTGTCTTCCCTTTCTAGTCTATGCCAGTTTTTGAGCTTTCTTGCATGTATACTCTTATGTCGGACCAGTTCTTATCCACACGGTGTCAGTGTCTACCAGCAAGACTCATTTACTCTTCAACTCCACCTAGGTCGTGGCACAATAGCAAAAAGCCCATTCATCGCTGACTGTCAGTGAAATCGTAGTGAGGTGGCACACGGACATATGAGGATTATGTTTCTCTTTCTTAAAAAAAAAAAAAAAAAGTAACATCATCCATTGTGTTACTTGGGTTCTCTTTGTTCTCCGTCACACTTTATGGATTACATTCTAAAAAGGATTGCATAAAAATGGCTGTACTCGAGAACCGTGAGTGGGTTTGGATTGTGAATCTATTTTGGCTGTTGCTTTGTTTTCGGGATTCTGTTTCTAGACAAATTACCTATTCCATTTCCGAGGAGGTAAAACCGGGGACATTTGTTGGGAATTTGGCTAAGGATTTAAATCTAAAAGTGACTGAACTGGAGGCACATAGGATTCAGATTGAATCTGGATCATATAAGAAACATTTTGAGGTAAATTTGAACACTGGCGTTCTCTTTGTTAGCGAAGCCATAGACCGAGAGAAGCTTTGTCCCAATAGCCTTATTTGTACTGAAAGCTTGGAGGTTATTGTTAATAATCCTTTACGAATGTACAACGTTGAAGTAAATATATTAGACATTAACGACAACGCACCACAATTTCCTGTGAAATCACAGATTATTCGTATTTCTGAGCATACTTCACCTGGAGCTAGATTTCCTCTGTCTACAGCTGAGGATATGGATGTAGGGAGCAACTCTATTGACGCATATAAACTCTCCACAAATTCCTTTTTCAATCTAGACGTACATGCTGAGGCTGATAGTGGTCCATCAGCAGAGTTAATTCTACATAAAGCTTTAGACCGAGAGAAACAGGCTGTGATCAAGCTAACACTGACTGCTATTGATGGAGGAAAGCCTCCCAGATCAGGGAGCACAGAAATCATTGTCAACGTACTCGATGCAAACGATAATGCCCCAGTGTTTTCCAAAGCCCTGTATAAGGCAAAAGTCTTAGAGACTGCGCCCATTGGCACTGCTTTTCTAAGGCTTAATGCAACAGACCTAGACGAAGGCTTGAACGGTGAAATAATGTATTTGTTCAGCAAACAAGGACAAAGGGGGGGTTATGATACATTTGCAATCAATCAGAGAAATGGGGAAATAACAGTAGCAGGGCCTTTAGATTATGAGGTGACCAGTGCGTATGAGATTCGTGTAGAAGCCCAGGACCGAGGCCATTCACCTCTGGCCTCACATTGCAAAGTGTTGGTAGAGGTAGTTGACGTAAACGATAATGCCCCGGACATCAAACTCTCCTCGCTTTTGGAGAGTGTGAGAGAGGACGCAAAGAAGGGTACGGCAATTGCGCTAATCACGATTATTGATAAGGATGGCGGTAAAAACGGGAATGTGCATTGTACCATATCTGGTGTCTCGCCGTTTCTATTGGAGTCATCTCAGGGTAAATACTACTCCATGGTCCTTGGAGAAACGCTGGACAGGGAAATCAACTCTCAGTATAATGTCACCATCATAGCCAGAGATGAAGGGACCCCTCCTCTGTCCAGTACTAGTATTATTACTGTCCATGTTTCTGATGTCAATGACAATGCGCCACGCTTTCCAGAATCCATTGTTAACGTGTTCTTAAAAGAAAATAGTCCGGCAAAATCTGTGATATCTGCTATGACTGCGCTGGATCCAGATTCAGAAGCAAACGCTCAGATAACATATCATTTACTAGATCCCATAAATAGGCCTACAGCTTCGCAGACACCTGTCAATGTGAATTATGCCACAGGTGAAATATACAGCATGCAGTCAGTGAACTATGAAGAAGTGAAAAAGTTCCAGTTCCAAGTTCAGGCCACAGACTCTGGTGTTCCTCCACTAAGCAGCAACGTCACTGTCAACGTTTTTATCCTGGATGAGAATGACAACAGTCCTGTGATTCTCCCGCCCTATTCTGACCACGGCTCCGTTAATTCTGAGAACATTCCCTATTCTGCTGAAGCGGGCTACTTTGTGGCCAAGATCAGGGCTGTAGACGCAGACTCTGGTTATAATGCGCTGCTTTCTTATCACATCTCTGAACCAAAGGGGACCAATCTATTCAGAATTGGAACCAGCAACGGAGAAATAAGGACAAAGAGACGCATGAGTGACAATGACCTAAAAACTCACCCGTTGGTCATTCTGGTGTCTGATAATGGAGAACCTTCTCTGTCTGCGACTGTGTCTATTGATGTTGTGGTCGTTGAAAGTACAGGTGACATGAAGACAACTTTCAGACAACTGCCTGTAAAGGAGGAGAGTTTCTCAGATTTAAATCTGTATCTGCTCATCGCCATTGTGTCAGTATCAGTGATATTTATACTGAGCCTCATCAGTTTAATAGTTGTACAATGCCACAGGACAGACGGCAGTTTCAGCAGGTGCGGCGCCCCAATGATCACCACACACCCTGACGGGAGCTGGTCTTACTCCAAATCTACTCAGCAGTATGACGTGTGTTTTAGCTCTGACACACCTGCTGATGGTGAACTGATCAGTATTAATGGAGGCGACACTTTTCAAAGGACACAGACGCTTACCAACACAGATAAGGTAAGAAGATACTGTACCTTTATTTTGTCTAATTCTATATTAGCCTATTCTATATTTTTCTACTAATGGTGTTTTGAAAGAGTTTAATTAACATTTCGATAGACAATGTGGTTGTTGTGTTGTGGTTGTCTGTCTTTGTATATTCCACTTAATTTGTACATTAGAGGGCACTGTATGTCGGGTCATGGGTCACTGGTCACTTGTAGGCTATATATGCAGACAGGTGACCAGTAAGTATGGATGTAGGCATGGAGAGCATACTACTGTGCTCATCTTTTACACCTTGGAGCTATTGAATGCGCCTACAGTAGTTATATTTGCCTGTAAGGATTATTGGTATGTTTATATCTTTACTGCTAATTAATGGGCAAATGATCCAACCAAAGATCCAATTTTGGAAAGTGGTTTGTTTTGCACGTGTATATGAACTTTTGCAATCCCACCTGTGCCAGAGTGGCTATCCGGAACTATTGACTGGGTCAACAGGGGTCTTCCGCGAAATGACTCCCTTTTCGGTAGTGTAACTTGGTGAAAAAACACTATTTATTTCACATATTGTTAACAATCTGTGATAAAGAGCACATGGTCAACTTCATAAAGAAACACGTTTTCCCATCTCAAGACAATAAAATAAAATAAAAAAAGACTAGTAAGTGCCTGTTAAGTGCCAAATAAAGTAACAGGGTTGGCGATTTCAATTTAAATCAGCCATAAATCCCCTTGGACAGGGGGAATGGAAGCTTGTTGTGTGCATCAGGGAGGGGCAATTGAATGCAAGCTTCACAAAAATATTGAAATTGTTGAAACATTTCTAACCTGTCTATCTGTGGGTAACGGGCTTGACGTGTTATGCGCGACCCGCTCAGTTTTCCACCACAAAACACCAGAAAATGGGCAAAAAGAGTAGAACCAACTCACCTGCTTTTACACCAGGATTTTACTATAAATGTTCAATGTTTCTTTTGAAAATATTATTTAACCCTCATACTACCGACTGGGGTCCTTTTGACCCCAGAGGCATATTTTTTATCATAGCCCAAAGGTGGTTTATTCAATTCTTCAAAATGTTCATGACTTTGTCAATAAACTTTTTCTTAATACATCTAAATAAGTGTTTAGTGTTTCTGTATCAATATGACCCCAGCCAAAAACAACTAATTCTGCCTATAGGAATTTGATAGATGGATCTTTATTTGAATCCAGGTTTCTCTGGAGACATAATTTTAAGTTATACACATCATCAGAGGGTGGAGGGGGACCTGTATCAGTGATTTTGACCAGATAGACAGATCATCTGAAGAGATATAGCTCCCCATGTATTTGCCTACAATTGTACTTTTTTATACCACGTATGACCGTGTGCAAAACCAAAATTACCTTATTTTTGTGCATATAAAAATCTGCCAATGGTATAAAAAGTCTGCCAATGGTATAAATACTTGATAAAACTGCAATACAGAACTCAGATACACTCTGAATCTACACAGAAAGCTGAATGGGGCTGCAGGTAGCCTAATGGCTAAGAGCGTTGGGTCAGTAACCAAAAGGTTGCTGGTTTGAATCCCAGAGCCGACTAGGTGAGAAATCAGTCAACATACCATTGAGCAAGGCACTTAACCTCAATTGCTCCTTTAAGTCGCTCTGCATAAGAGTGTCTACTAAAATGTATTGGTGTGTATTCCCTGAAAATTTGTTATTCTAGGGCTAATCTAAAAAAGTATTTATTTGAATCCAGGTTTCTCTGGAGACATAATATTAAGTTATACACATCATGAGAGGGTGGAGGGGGACCTGTATCGGTGATTTTGACCAGACAGATCCCCTGCAGAGATGGAACACCTTATGTACTCGGCTATGGTTATAACTGGTTATAGTTATAACTAGGTATGACCGTGTACACAATTACGTTACATATATGCTTAGTTGCTGTCAAAACAGCTCATTAAAGTCTGTCAGTGTTATGAATACTTGGTAGAACTGTAATGCAGAAATCCACTACCTTCTAAATGTACACATAGTGCAAAATTGGTGTGTATTCTACAAAAATAGTTATTCTACAAGAAATGTTATATAAATACCAGAGTTCCTTTAATATCCTACAATATTATGTATGTGGAACTTTTTATGGCATTTGGGTTGCTATACCATTTAGTTTGAAGTGACTTTGAGGATTTGGGCATGCTTTTTGAAGAGTCCTGCCATAGGCCCTACCATTCCTATTGTTTCACTAGCAGCAATGCTAATGCTGGCTGTGGGTAAGTAAATAAAGAAAACTAAGCCATATTTTTGGTCCTTGTCTCTTAGAATCAATGGATGAATCACTTTTTGTCAATAAAATGAAGTATATTTGAAATTTTGGTGTACCGCCCCTTTAAATGGCAGTCGTTTTACTACATTAATTAGTATTTATTTCAAAATTCTAAAAACGAAATGATACTATAATCAAATGATGGTAAATCAGCTTTTTAGTAGTTATGTGGATTGGACTGTACTTCGGAAAAAAGCTGCACATTATGAAACATTTTGTGTTACAAAATACTGTAACTGTAATTTTGCTAAAATAACAGTATTATTATTATTTATTTTTTGATAACTTTATTTACACGTCTAATGATGTTTTGATAAGAATTAAGTTTATATTTGGCTATGACTGTTGCTTTTTTTTCAATATCAAAATTACCCCAGTTGGTAATCCATGTATGTAAAAATATGTTGGTAGCATGTGGGTTAAGAAATTATAGTTTCACCATATTAAAATGCGAGTTCAGTTCACGTAACAGGGTTGACCTTAAAATGAGAGACAGGTTTATTTCTCCATAAACTGAATCAGTAATCACATTAAATAAATAATAATCTCCAGAAATGACTTTGTCAAAGCAACAAAATAACGTGTGCTTTACAATGATGGTGAATATTTTGAGGAACTTTGGGGCTTAAGTGGGTTAAAATCTTCCTAGACGTCACAGAGGATACACAGAGGGACATGCCAAAATGCCGAATTTTGGCACTTTAGCAAGTCTTTATTCATATTAAAATCAGATTGATTTACATGTGGTCTATATTAAAGGAAACTTCATTTAATATAACAGCCTTTTAAAATGTAATATTGGTGCACAATTTCTACTTAAAATATCAAAGGGATTAAAAAAGGAACTCATTTCGTGGAAAGACCGCGTTGTAAATATAATTTTCACATTGAAGTGTTGTTTTTCTTTCTCTTCAGCAATGGGCTGACTATTTTCATGTTTCCACGCTGGGAGACGCTGTTGACCACGATAGAAATGCACCTGATTTAGAAAGCCCGGGATCCTCCTATCCTTTTCTACAGGGTGTGTAGATGTAGGCTAGCATATCAGTTAGGCTTTGTTGAAGAACACATTGGAATACTTTGCGGCACACTGTCGCGGATTTTTAGTCGTAGGCCTACCTAGTTTTCAATTTGATCAATTTTGGATGAATCTGGATTACAGTGTCAAGGAACTGAGCAGCGATGGATTTGTGTGACCGTATGATACGTGTTTGGATACAGTGTTTTGTATTGCTTTGTTCATGGGGATTGTCTTCAGGACAGATCGTCTACAAGGTGTCAGAGGAGGTGGATAAAGGCACAGTTGTTGGAAATATAGCCAAAGATCTCAATCTAAATGTGCAAGATCTGGAATTGAGAGGAATTGAGATTGTAACTGGATCGAATAAGAGGTATTGTGACGTAAACAGGAAGTCTGGGCTTCTGTTTGTCAATGAAGGAATCGACAGGGAGATGCTGTGTCAAAATTCAGTCAAATGTTTTGTAGACGTTGAAGCCATTTTGAAAGATCCAACACATCTCCACCGCATAATGAATATTTTAGATATAAACGACAATGCACCATCATTCTGAGAGCCAGTTCATATTTTTAATATTACTGAGTATGCCTCTCCAGGAGAGAGATTTTCTCTGCCTGAAGCCCAGGACATGGATGTTGGCAGTAACTCGGTGAAAACCTACAAGCTGAGCCCAAATGAACACTTCTCTCTGGATGTACAGAGCGGTGGAGAGCAGGTTTCTGCTGAGTTAGTGCTACAGAAAGCTTTAGATCGTTAGAAACAGGCTGTTATCAAGCTTGTGCTGACTGCCATTCATGGAGGAAAGCCATCTAGATCCGGGACATTACAGATTATTGTCAACATTATTGATATAAACGATCATTCCCCATCAGTCAGCAAACAACTCTACAAAGTTCAGATTCTTGAGAATGTCCCAAGTGGAACAACAATTCTTATTTTAAATGCGACTGATTTTGATGAGGGTGTAAACGGAGATATAATGTATTCCTTAACCGCAAAGGGAGATGCAAAACATGCTGACCTATTCTCCATTGATCCGCAGTCAGGAGTTATCACCTCTAAAGGCAAAATAGACTACGAGGAAAGTACTGCATTTGAGATCCGTGTACAGGCTAAGGACAGAGGGGTCCCTCCTCGTAGCACGCAGTGTAAAGTCTTAGTTGAAGTGCTTGATGAGAATGACAATGCCCCTGAGATAGCTTGGGGCACAGTGAAAGAGGACTCTCCAATTGGCACTGTTGTCGCATCCATAACTGCATTAGATAAAGATGGAGGTAGAAAATGGACGTGTTTTGTGCGACATAGTCGGAGAAGTTCCCTTTAAACTTCTCTCTACTTATAAGAACTATTATTCTGTAGTAGTGGACGGACCTCTGAACAGAGAGAGTGCATCGCAGTGCAATGTCACCATCATTGCTAAAGATGAGGGAACCCCTCCTCTCTCCAGTACTAGAGTTATAACAGTAGACATCTCTGATGTGAATGACAACCAACCTCACTTTTTAGAACCCAAAATAAACGTGTTTCTAAAGGAGAATAGTCCTGTGGGAGGTTTAATTGCAAGCTTGACCGCAATTGACCCCGATGTCAATGAGAATGGTCAAGTTATTAAATGTTAGAAACTAGCAACAACCTTCCTATGTCTACAATGATAAACATAAACTATTTAACTGGTGAGATATATAGCATGCAGTCATTTAACTATGAAGAAGTGAAAAAGTTCCAGTTCAAAGTTCAGGCCACAGACTCTGGTGTTCCTCCTCTAAGCAGCAACGTTACTGTCAACGTTTTTATCCTGGATGAGAATGACAACAGTCCTGTGATTCTCCCGCCCTATTCTGACCACGGCTCCGTTAATTCTGAGAACATTCCCTATTCTGCTGAAGCGGGCTACTTTGTGGCCAAGATCAGGGCTGTAGACGCTGACTCTGGATATAATGCACTGCTTTCTTATCACATCTCTGAACCAAAGGGTACCAATCTATTCAGAATTGGAACCAGCAACGGAGAAATAAGGACTAAGAGACGCATGAGTGACAATGACTTAAAAACTCACCTGTTGGTCATTCTGGTGTCTGATAATGGAGAACCTTCCCTGTCTGTGACTGTGTCTATTGATGTTGTGGTCGTTGAAAGTACAGGTGACATGCAGACAACTTTCAGACAACTGCCTGTAAAGGAGGAGAGTTTCTCAGATTTAAATATGTATCTGCTCGTCGCCATTGTGTCAGTATCAGTGATATTTCTACTGAGCCTCATAAGTTTAATAGTTGTAAAATGCCACAGGACAGACGGCAGTTTCAGCAGATACAACGCTCCAATGATCACCACACACCCTGACGGGAGCTGGTCTTACTCCAAATCTACTCAGCAGTATGACGTCTGCTTTAGCTCTTGACACGCTGAAGAGTGACATAGTAGTTTTCCCCACGCCATTTCCACCTGCTGATAGTGAGCTGATCAGTATTAATGGAGGGGACACTTTTCAAAGAACAAGAATGCTTCCGAGCACAGAGAAGGTAAGGAGAACTGTTCATGATATGGAATGTTTTTGTCACGTTGTATTTTATTTTATTGGCATTATTATCTTGTGTGCAGGTTATATTTGCCTAATTCCCGAAATTCAGTTTGTTGTAACTTACATAGACGGTTCCAATTGTATGGGTACGGTTTAGGATAAGTAGAATTCGACAATTCTCCTCTAAATTAATGCAGAATTTAGCGTTACAATTCAGCACCACGGACAGCGACATAAGGCTTCTTGCTTTGATTTGTGTCAGTCTCATTCTTGCTCACGTTTTCTCAATTAGATTGCAGCAATGTTGTTTCATATTCTCCTATAACAGATTATTCTGTGGATCTGTCAAATTAGTCTAGTTTTTAGTTGTTTATGGTTGAAGCAATAACTGGTAAAGTCATTTAAATGTATCTGCACACCACAAAGTATTTAGCTGTTGAGTTCGACTACTGGTTATCAGCTGTTTGTCATATTTAGGGCTAAGCAATAAATTACATTTGAGAGGATCATGCAAAGCGTTGTTCATTTGATGATCTTTTTTTTTGTAGGCACTCTTCGTGAAAGATACCAACATCTTGTATAACTAAGAAATCACATCTGTATACATTTTAAGAGCACAGTAAAAGCACTTGGTGTCGCTGTAGACCGTGACTATATTCAGTTGATAACTATTTGGGCCACTCCTTCCTCTCTTCACTTCCACTGATGAGGCAGGTACAGTCAAGCGAGTTGGTGAGATGAGAACGCACTCGAGATAGGCCTGTACGTTGACACAACCGTTGTATACTAATAGAGAGATTGTTCTTATATAAAAACGATGTTTAGCAATATTATCAATCTATCGTAACCAACTCAAAGAAGAATCATAAGGTCTATGTATAACAATGGACCATTCCGTACATTGTGGATATTTTTGGATTCGGATTATGCTGTTTCTTTGTTTATGGGATATATCTTCCGGTCAGATTGTCTATTCTGTTTTAGAGGAGGTGAACAAGGGAACCGTTGTTGGGAATATAGCCAAGGATCTCAATCTCAATGTTCAGGAACTGGAGTCACGTATGTTTCAGATTGTATCCGGATCCAACAAGAAGTATTTTGATGTAAATCCAAGAACTGGTGTTCTATACGTGAATGAGATAATCGACCGCGAGGAGCTTTGTGAGACCAATGTGAAGTGTTCTTTGAATGTGCAGGCCATTGCGCACAATCCTCTAAATGTTTTTCGTGTTGAAATAGAGATATTGGATACAAATGACAATGTACCTTGTTTCTTAGAAAATTCTCTAACATTAAATATTTCCGAAAACGCTGCTGAGGGAGAGCGATTTCTTCTGCCAGTGGCTGAGGATGTGGATGGGGGCAGTAACTCTATGAAAACCTACAAGCTGAGTCCAAATGAACATTTTTCTCTGGATGTACAGAGCGGTGGAGAGCAGAGTGTGTCTGCTGAGTTAGTGTTACAAAAGGCTTTAGACCGAGAGATACAGGCTGTGATCAAGCTCATACTAACTGCTGTTGATGGAGGAAAACCTCCCAGATCTGGGACATTACAGATCATAGTACATGTATTCGATACTAATGACAATACTCCCATTTTCAGCAAACCGCTTTACAAAGTGAAAGTTGCGGAGAATGTTTCAATTGGAACCAAAATAATAACTCTCACGGCATCAGATTTGGATGAGGGTATTAACAGTGACATTCTTTACTCTTTTGTTGGCAACAGGAATGCAAAAGGATCTAGTATGTTTGCTATTGACCCGCATACTGGGGATGTATCTGTGAAAGGCAATGTCGACTATGAAGAAAACGTTGGGATTGAGTTGCGAGTCCAGGCTGCAGACCAAGGCCAACCTCCAAAAACGACACATTGTAAAGTGTTAGTGGAAGTAGTCGATATAAATGACAATGCTCCAGAGATAGCAATAACATCACTCATGAGCACAGTAAGAGAGGATGCCAAGTCTGGCGCTGCTGTTGCTTTAGTAACGCTGTCAGATAAAGATGGGGGTAAAAATGGAATTGTGAATTGTCAGATAAGCGGTACTGTTCCTTTCAAACTGCAGTTTTCTTATAAAAATCACTACTCTTTAGTTGTAGACGGGCCTCTGGACAGAGAGAAATGTTCTCAGTACAATATCACTATTATTGCTATGGATGAGGGGACCCCACCTCTCTCCATCACCAGTGTTGTTACAGTACACATTTCTGATGTGAATGACAACCCACCCCGTTTTCCAGAACATCTTATTAACATTTATTTAAAGGAGAATAGTCCAGCGGGAGGTCTGATGGTTAGTGTAAATGCGTATGATCCAGATGAAATGGGAAACGCGCATGTATCATATTATCTTTCGGAAAGTAAAAGTGATAATATATCGCCCTCGACAATAGTCAACATTAACACTATAACTGGTGAAATATACAGCATGCAGTCATTTAACTATGAAGAAGTAAAACGGTTCAAATTTCAAGTTCAGGCCACAGACTCTGGTGTTCCTCCACTAAGCAGCAACGTCACTGTCAACGTTTTTATCCTGGATGAGAATGACAACAGTCCTGTGATTCTCCCGCCCTATTCTGACCACGGCTCCGTTAATTCTGAGAACATTCCCTATTCTGCTGAAGCGGGCTACTTTGTGGCCAAGATCAGGGCTGTAGACGCAGACTCTGGTTATAATGCGCTGCTTTCTTATCACATCTCTGAACCAAAGGATACCAATCTATTCAGAATTGGAACCAGCAACGGAGAAATAAGGACTAAGAGACGCATGAGTGACAATGACCTAAAAACTCACCCGTTGGTCATTCTGGTGTCTGATAATGGAGAACCTTCCCTGTCTGCGTCTGTGTCTATTGATGTTGTGGTCGTTGAAAGTACAGGTGACATGAAGACAACTTTCAGACAACTGCCTGTAAAGGAGGAGAGTTTCTCAGATTTAAATCTGTATCTGCTCATCGCCATTGTGTCAGTTTCAGTGATATTTATACTGAGCCTCATCAGTTTAATAGTTGTAAAATGCCACCGGACAGACGGCAGTTTCAGCAGGTACAGCGCCCCAATGATCACCACACATCCTGACGGGAGCTGGTCTTACTCCAAATCTACACAGCAGTATGACGTGTGTTTTAGCTCCGACACACTGAAGAGTGACGTGGTAGTTTTCCCCACGCCGTTTCCACCTGCTGATGGTGAACTGATCAGTATCAATGAAGGGGATACCTTTCAAAGGACACGGATGCTTCCCAACACTGAGAAGGTAAGACCATATTTTTATTTCACCAACGATTCGAATTTTTCTTTAAAGTGTTAGTGCAGAGCTCGTGAAACCTGCAGAGAGTCGAGCTTTGGTGATTTCAGCACCACGCTAGTGGACAGCGAAGTCGCGGCGAGCAGTGGACATTGTTGTTCTTTCTTTAATATTTTCATCTTTGAGGGGTTGTGTATAATCTCTCGGCTTTAAATTAACCTTAAATTGCGGCACCTTTCTCTTTTAGAACTGGAATTAATGGGCACACTATATTAAGCATCAGTTGTCTCATAGTCTTTTTTCTACATTATTAAATTAAGGATTTTTATTTTTCTTAACTTCCTTAGTGCTTCATTTTGCGAACTGCCTAAATGTTGTGACACATCTCCTTTTGCAATTTATTCATCCATATGCATATATCTTCGGTTGCTCTTGTTTCTTTTTCAACTACTAATAACTATATCGGTAGCCTGTATGATAACTATCTCAATTGTTGTGCCATTGATGAGTCAAAGTGGCAGGTGGTCTCTAAATTATATAGAGTAAACCACGAGTGAAATAAGTTGGGGTACTATTTGCCTGCACTTGCATTGGAGCATATTGTTTTTCTTAGGCTATTAAACAATTTTATTTCAGGCAAAGAAATGATGCATACATAGGTCATGTGCTTATTTCTCATTGAGCAGTGTCATGTCCATTTAGTAAGCAAAACACAGGGTGTCGCTGTAGACCGTGGATATGAACCCTTGATTTAATTATATAGGGCCCCTCCTTCTGTGCCTATCAGTCGGTGTTGTGCAGGCTTTTGTCAGAATAACAGAGCCAGTTTCCATTTGAAACGACAGTTCTTTCGTGAGAGGATATGATGTGGTTGTTTTCTGAAATATTTGCCTTGGTATCTTCATGATTTTCTCATAGAATACGGAAAGTGTGGGATTACCGTGGATATAAAGATGGGCCATTCCGTGCATTGTGGATATTGTTGGATTATGGTTGTGCAGCTTCTTTGTTTCTGGGATTTATCTTCCGGTCAGATTGTCTATTCTGTCTCAGAGGAGGTGAACAAGGGAACCGTTGTTGGGAATATAGCCAAGGACCTCAATCTCAATGTTCAGGAACTGGAGTCTCGTATGTTTCAGTTTGTATCCGGATCTAACAAGAAGTATTTCGATATGAATTTAAAGACCGGTGCTCTGTTTGTGAAGGAAAGAATCGATCGAGAGGAGCTTTGTATGACCAGTCAAAAATGCTCTCTAAACTTGGAGGCCATTGCACAGAACCCTCTCAACATGTATCGTTTAGAGATACAAGTATTAGATATAAATGATAACGCACCTTCATTTCGTAATAGTGATCATACAATAAATATTACAGAATCTACCTCTCCAGGTGAAAGATATCCCCTACCAAGGGCTAATGATGCTGATATAGGCAGTAACTCTGTTAAAACCTACAAACTGAGCCCAAATGAGCACTTCTCTCTGGATGTACAAAGCGGTGAGAAAAGTGTGTCTGCTGACTTAGTGCTACAGAAAGCTTTAGACCGAGAGAAACAGGAGGTATTAGTGCTCCTTCTGACTGGTGTTGATGGAGGAAAACCTCCACGATCCGGGACCTTAAATATACTTATTAATGTGATAGATGTAAACGATAATAGCCCGGCCTTTAGCAAACACTTGTATAAAATAAGTATATCTGAGAACGTCCCTATTGGCACACCTATAATAAAAATTAACGCAACTGATGTGGACTCAGGAGTAAATGGGGAAATAGTTTATTCTTTGATAGGCCACGGGGAGGAAAACGCACTGGACTTTTTTCAAATAAACTCAGTCACTGGTGAAATTACAGTTAAAGGAACAATTGATTACGAAGAGCATGCTGCGTTTGAGCTACACGTACAGGCCAAAGACAGGAGTTCTAGTCCCCGTGCAACACACTGTAAAGTCCTGATAGAAGTGATGGATGTCAATGACAATTCCCCAGAAATATTAGTGACTTCAATGATGAATGCAGTTAGAGAGGATGCAAAATCAGGTAAAGCAGTTGGTCTAATAACAGTATCTGATAAAGATGGGGGTGTAAATGGAAAAGTACACTGTCAAATAGTAGGCTCTGTTCCCTTCAAATTGCAGTCCTCCTATAAGAACTATTACTCATTAGTAGTAGATGGATCTCTAGATAGAGAGAGTGGATCCCAGTACAATGTGACCGTTATAGCTACAGATGAAGGCATCCCACCTCTCTCCAGTACCACTGTCATTACTGTTTATGTCGCTGACGTGAATGACAACGCCCCTCGCTTTTCAGAACCCATAATTAATGTATATCTGAAGGAGAATAGTCCCGTTGGAGGGCTTATTGTCAGCTTGACTGCGCATGATCCAGATATGAATGAAAATGCTCAGATGTCTTATTCGTTTTTGGAAGGAAATAATGGAATACCCTTGTCTACAATGATAAACATAAACTCTTTAACTGGTGAGATATACAGCATGCAGTCTTTTAACTATGAAGAAGTGAAAAAGTTCCAGTTCAAAGTTCAGGCCACAGACTCTGGTGTTCCTCCACTAAGCAGCAACGTCACTGTCAACGTTTTTATCCTGGATGAGAATGACAACAGTCCTGTGATTCTCCCGCCCTATTCTGACCACGGCTCCGTTAATTCTGAGAACATTCCCTATTCTGCTGAAGCGGGCTACTTTGTGGCCAAGATCAGGGCTGTAGACGCTGACTCTGGATATAATGCACTGCTTTCTTATCACATCTCTGAACCAAAGGGGACCAATCTATTCAGAATTGGAACCAGCAACGGAGAAATAAGGACTAAGAGACGCATGAGTGACAATGACCTAAAAACTCACCCGTTGGTCATTCTGGTGTCTGATAATGGAGAACCTTCCCTGTCTGCGACTGTGTCTATTGATGTTGTGGTCGTTGAAAGTACAGGTGAAATGAAGACAACTTTCAGACAACTGCCTGTAAAGGAGGAGAGTTTCTCAGATTTAAATCTGTATCTGTTCGTCGCTATTGTGTCAGTATCAGTGATATTTCTACTGAGCCTCATCGGTTTAATAGTTGTAAAATGCCACCGGACAGACGGCAGTTTCAGCAGGTACTGCGCCCCAATGATCACCACACACCCTGACGGGAGCTGGTCTTACTCCAAATCTACTCAGCAGTATGACGTGTGTTTCAGCTCTGACACGCTGAAGAGTGACGTGGTAGTTTTCCCCACGCAGTTTCCACCTGCTGATGGTGAGCTGATCAGTATTAATGGAGGAGACACTTTTCAAAGGACACAAACGCTTCCTAACTCTGAGAAGGTAAGATGTGAATTATTAGTTTTTTTTAAACCAAAGATTAGAAAATGTTTGAAAAGGATTAGTACAGAGGTCATGAAACCGGCAGAGGTTCGAGCCTGGTGATTTCAGTACAACTTTTGCGGACAGCGACGCCGTGACAGAAACTGACCCCTCAGGTTGGCGAGCTGTAGACATTTTCATCCTTCTAATTGCTTCATAATTTAGTGGTTTTGAGCTTTTAAATGTAGTATTGTTGTATGCTTGCTTAGCAACTTTGTCTATTTTTATTAGTTTCGTTTACCATGTACAATTTATATTATTATTAGTCCTACTCGATCCTGCATTATGTTCAACTACCAAAACGTTTTCTTATAACTGTTGTTAGCCTACTGTTGATAAACCTTTGTCAAGTTATTTCGTTTTTCTGTCATAGTGTTATTGATCATTGCAGCCTATCCAGGCATTTACATTCTATTTCGTAGGCTAATGTACAGCTTTGAAAGATTACTTTGATTTTAAGCTTTTGTAGATGTCTCCTGGTAAGCCTATTAATAGGCTAATCAAACTGATATCACATTTGAAACGTTGTAAGACGCAATGATTGTTATAGTTTCTCATAAGACCAATATCATATTCATTAGTAAGCAGAATGTGTCGCTGTAGACCGTGGAAAATAAACGTAATTATTTTCTTCTGCAATTCCTCCTTTGGTGTCTGGCAACCATTGCGGGTATAGGCTTTGTAAGAATGGCGTGAACTCGTATTTGTAAAAGAGCGTTTTACCTAAAATAGGGGAGTTGATCGCTTTGACTTACCTAGTTATTTATGGTTTTCTCGTTAATGAACACTGCAAGTTGCACATGAACCGTGGATAACAATGGGCCTCTTCGTCCATGGCTTTATCTGGATTCGGATTCTGCTACTTCTTTGGTTCTGGGATTTATCTTCCGGTCAGATTGTCTGTTCTGTCTCAGAGGATGTGAACAAGGGAACCGTCATTGGGAATATAGCCAAGGATCTCAATCTCAATGTTCATGATCTGGAATTATGTATGTTTCAGATTGTAGCCGGATCCAACAAGAAGTATTTTGAGGTAAATTTAAAGACTGGTGTTCTGTTTGTTAATGACAGAGTCGACCGCGAGGAGTTGTGCCTCAATTCTCAGACATGCTCCATGTATATAGAAGCCATTGTGCACAACCCTGTGAGACTTTACCGTGTTGAAATAATAATTTTAGACATCAATGACAATTCTCCATCATTTCCTTTTAAAGAACATATTTTGAATATAACTGAGTTCTCGTCTACAGGAGAGAGATTCTCCCTTCCTATGGCCAGTGACCCTGATGTTGACAGCAATACAGTAAAAACCTACAAGCTGAATCCAAATGAGCACTTCTCCCTGGATGTACAAAGCGGTGGAGAGCAAAGTGTGTCTGCTGAGTTAGTGTTACAGAAAACTTTAGACAGAGAGAAACAGGCTGTGATAAAACTGACTCTGACTGCTGTAGATAGAGGGAATCCTCCCAGATCCGGGACTCTGCAGATAGTAATGAATGTTATGGACGCTAATGATAACACCCCAGTGTTTAGTAAACTCGTCTACAAGGTGAAGGTTAAAGAGAATGTATCGTTTGGAACTAAATTAATCACTCTGTCCGCAACGGATTTAGACGAGGGTTTGAATAGTGAAGTGTTATATTCTATCATCAGACACGGAAATAGCAAAGTTACAGATTTATTCTCAATTGATGCCGATACTGGGGCTTTAAGTGTGAAAGGTCCTCTTCATTATGAGGAAACCAGTGTTGTTGAGTTGCGTATCCAAGCAAAAGATAAAGGCCAGCCTCCAAAAAGTACGCAATGTAAAGTTTTAGTGGAAATTATTGATGTGAATGACAATGTTCCAGAGATATCAGTGACTCCACTGATGGACACAGTTAAAGAGAACAGTAAACGCGGTGCTGCTATTGCTTTGATTACTGTCACTGATAAAGATGGAAGTAAAAACGGAGTGGTGCATTGTCACATCTCAGAATCAGTCCCTTTTAAATTAGAATCCTCCTACAAAAACTATTACTCCTTAGTAGTGGATGGAGCTCTAGATAGAGAGAGCGCTTCTCAGTACAATATCACAATCACTGCTACGGATGAAGGGACCCTACGTCTCTCCAGCACAAGTGTTATTACTGTACACATTTCTGATGTGAATGACAACCCGCCCCGTGCTCATCGCCATTGTGTCAGTATCAGTGATATTTCTAATGAGCCTCATCAGTTTAATAGTTGTACAATGCCACAGGACAGACGGCAGTTTCAGCAGGTACAACGCCCCAATGATCACTGCACACCCTGACGGGAGCTGGTCTTACTCCAAATCTACTCAGCAGTATGACGTGTGCTTTAGCTCTGACACACTGAAGAGTGACATAGTAGTTTTCCACACGCCATTTCCACCTGTTGATGGTGAGCTGATCAGTATTAATGGAGGAGACACTTATCAAAGGACACGAACACTCCCTAACACAGAAAAGGTAAGAAAATATATATTTAGTTTTTTCCAAAGTTTACAAAATGTTTGAAAGTGTTAGAGCAGTGCTTGTGAACCCGACCGAGGTTCGAGCCCTGGTGGTTTCAGCACCACGCCGGTGGACAGCGACCCCGCGCGAGAAACTGTCCCCTTCAGCAGATTGGTGAGTTAGTTGTCCTTTCCCTAATTTCCTAATCTTTGAGGAGGTTTGAGCTTTCAATTATAGTCTTGTTGTGTTGTTGCTCAGAAATGTTGCATCTTTAGAGTAGTGTCGTTTACCATGACACATGTATATTATTATTACTGAACCCTGCATAATTTCAACAACCAAAAAGTTTCTTACAATATTATTGTTGCCTACTGTTGATGAACAGCTGTCAAGCTATTTGGTTATATTTGTCTGTCAAAGTGCTATTGATTATAGCAAACTATCCAGACATTCACATTTTATTTGGTAATTTACTGCTCCTGAAGATAACGTTGATTTCAGTAGTTTCTAGCTGTCAATCAAAACTGATATCACATTTGAACGGTATAATGAAAGACATGATGCACTCTGATTGTTGTACTTTCTCATATGACCAACATAATATCCATCAGTAAGCACAAGGTGTCGCTGTAGACCGTGGGGGAATTTTTAATTTTTTTATTTTTTTTCAACTCCTCCTACGGTGTCTGGCATTCATTGCAGGAAGGGCTTTGTCATAATAGCATGCACTTGTATTCGTGAAGGAGTGTTTTGCATGCGGTAGAGGAGTTGATCGCGTTAACTTATACATGCTTTTTTGATGATTTCCCTATTAATAATTATTGCAAATTGCACATGAACCGTGGATAACAATGGGCCTCTCTGTCCATGGATGTATTTTGATTCGGATTCTGCTTCTTCTTTGTTTCTGGGATTTATCTTACGGTCAAGTGGTCTATTCTGTCTCAGAGGAGGTGAACAAGGGAACCGTTGTTGGGAATATAGCCAAGGACCTCAATCTTAATGTTCAGGAACTGGAGTTTCGTATGTTTCAGATTGTATCCGGAACTAACAAGAAGTATTTCGATGTGAATTTAAAGACCGGTGCTCTGTTTGTGAAGGAAATAATCGACCGAGAGGAACTCTGTATGACCAGTCAAAAATGCTCTCTAAACTTGGAGGCCATTGCACAGAACCCTCTCAACATGTATCGTTTAGATATACAAGTATTAGATATCAATGATAACGCACCTTCATTTCATATTAGTGATCATACATTGAATATAACAGAATCTACCTCTCCAGGTGAAAGATATCCCCTACCAAGGGCTAATGATGCGGATATAGGCAGTAATTCAGTGAAAACCTACAAGCTGAGCCCAAATGAACACTTCTCTCTGGATGTACAGAGCGATGGAGAGCAGAGTGTGTCTGCGGAGTTAGTGTTACGTAAAGCTTTAGACCGAGAGAAACAGGCTGTGATCCGGCTCCTATTGACTGCAGTTGATGGAGGGAAACCTGCAAAATCTGGGACTCTTCAAATAATAGTGAATGTGATAGATGTGAACGATAATAGTCCAGTCTTCAGCAAACAATTGTACAAAGTACGTGTGTCGGAGAATCTACCTATTGGCACACTTATAATAAAACTGAACGCAACCGATGTGGACTCAGGACTAAATGGGGAAATAGTTTTTTCTTTGATTCATCACGGCGATCAGAAAGCATTGGATGTTTTTCAAATAAACCCAGCTACTGGTGAAATTACAATGAAGGAAGTGATTGATCACGAAGAGAATGCTGCGTTTGAGCTGCACGTACAGGCCAAAGACAGGAGTTATAGTCCTCCCACAACGCACTGTAAAGTCTTAGTTGAAGTGATAGATGTCAATGACAATGTTCCAGAGATATCAGTAACTTCAATGATGAATGCAGTCAGAGAGGATGCAAGATCAGGTACAGCAGTTGGTTTAATAACAGTATCTGATAAAGATGGGGGTGTAAATGGAAAAGTACACTGTCAAATAATAGGATCTGTTCCATTCAAATTGCAATCCTCCTATAATAACTATTACTCATTAGTAGTAGATGGATCTCTAGATAGAGAGAGTGGTTCCCAGTACAATGTGACCGTTATAGCTACAGATGAAGGCATCCCACCTCTCTCCAGTACCACTGTCATTACTGTTTATGTCGCTGACGTGAATGACAATGCCCCTCGCTTTTCAGAACCCATAATTAATGTATATCTGAAGGAGAATAGTCCCGTTGGAGGGCTTATTGCCAGCTTGACTGCGCATGATCCAGACATGAATGAAAATGCTCAGATGTCTTATTCGTATTTAGAAGGCAATAATGGAATACCGTTGTCTACAATTATAAATATAAACTATTTAACTGGTGAACTATTCAGCCTACGGTCATTCAACTACGAGGAGGTGAAGAAGTTCGAGATCCAAGTTCAGGTCACAGACTCTGGTGTTCCTCCACTAAGCAGCAACGTCACTGTCAACGTTTTTATCCTGGATGAGAATGACAACAGTCCTGTGATTCTCCCGCCCTATTCTGACCACGGCTCCGTTAATTCTGAGAACATTCCCTATTCTGCTGAAGCGGGCTACTTTGTGGCCAAGATCAGGGCTGTAGACGCAGACTCTGGTTATAATGCACTGCTTTCTTATCACATCTCTGAACCAAAGGGGACCAATCTATTCAAAATTGGATCCAGCAACGGAGAAATAAGGACTAAGAGACGCATGAGTGACAATGACTTAAAAACTCACCCGTTAGTCATTTTGGTGTCTGATAATGGAGAACCTTCCCTGTCTGCAACTGTGTCTATTGATGTTGTGGTCGTTGAAAGTACAGGTGACATGCAGACAACTTTCAGACAACTTACTGTAAAGGAGGAGAGTTTCTCAGATTTAAATATGTATCTGCTCATCGCCATTGTGTCAGTTTCAGTGATATTTCTACTGAGCCTCATCAGTTTAATAGTTGTAAAATGCCACAGGACAGACGGCAGTTTCAGCAGGTACAGCGCCCCAATGATCACCACACATCCTGACGGGAGCTGGTCTTACTCCAAATCTACTCAGCAGTATGACGTGTGTTTTAGCTCTGACACGCTGAAGAGTGACGTAGTAGTCTTCCCCACGCCGTTTCCACCTGCTGATGGTGAGCTGATCAGTATTAATGGAGGAGACACTTTTCAAAGGACACGAACGCTTCCCAATAGCGAGAAGGTAAGGACCCTTCATTATAAAAGCATACTATGTACAATCTATTTACCAAAATTGTTTTTGAATAGAGTTAGGCCTACCTTGTTTAACTTTTCTGCCTTCTGGATATGAATCACTTTGTTGAAACAATACTTTCATAATTTGGGGTTTATATGGTGTAAATGTTATGGTTATTTGTAGGTCAAAGGGAGAACTCGTTTAAGAAGCACTTTTCTTTTGACTTCAGCACCACTGGGGTGGAAAGCAACAGGACTGTGTCACTGGTGGTTTTTAAAAACACACGTTTCACGTCACACCGTGTCGCTGCAGACCGTGAATATGAAGATTGTTTCTCAGTCTGGTGCCACTCCCTCTATGGCTTGTCATGAGCTGGGAGGGCTTTGTACAAATCCAGGATACATCGCACTAGGTTTGTGTTTTATACAAGAGAGTATTCTCACTGCGTTTTGGGCGTTTTGTGTCTTATATTTTGATGGTAGATAACACTAGTTTCAGAACCGAATTATCGATGTTTGACAGTAACAACTGAACCGTGGATAACGATGGGCCTCTTTGTTCATGCATGTATTTTGATTTGGATTCAGCTTTTTCTTTGTTTCTGGGATTTATCATCCGGTCAGATTGTCTATTCTGTCTCAGAGGAGGTGAACAAGGGAACCGTTGTTGGGAATATAGCCAAGGACCTCAATCTCAATGTTCAGGAATTGGAGTCTCGTATGTTTCAGATTGTATCCGGATCTAACAAGAAGTATTTTGATGTAAATGTTAAGACTGGTGCTCTGTTTGTGAACGAGAGAATCGACCGAGAAGACCTATGTGTGACAAGCAAGAACTGTGCCTTAAATTTAGAGGCCCTAGCACAAAACCCGCATAGTCTTTATCGGATCGAGATAGAGATTTTGGATACAAATGACAACGCACCATTTTTCTCAGTTAATACACTTCCAATGAATATTACAGAGATTGCTATTTTAGGAGACAAATTCCTCTTACCCATTGCCAAAGATCCAGATGTTGGTAGTAACTCGTTAAATAGCTACAATCTGAGTCCAAATGAACACTTCTCTCTTGATGTACAGAGCGGTGGAGAGCAGAGTGTGTCTGCGGAGTTAGTGCTAAAGAAAACTTTAGACCGAGAGAAACAGGCTGTGATCCGGCTGACACTGACTGCAGTTGATGGAGGAAAACCTCCTCGGTCAGGGACATTACAGATAGTGGTAAACGTTATGGATATAAATGACAATAATCCAATCTTCAGCAAGCCTCTTTACAAAGTGAAAGTGAATGAAAATTCGCCGGTAGGAAAAAAAGTCACTTCTCTTCTTGCTTCGGATTTAGATGAAGGAGTAAATGGTGAAGTAATATATTCTCTAGTTGGACATGGGGCTGAAAACGAAGCTCTATTTTCTATCGTTCCTGAGACAGGGGTGATTGAGGTAAAGGGAGTGATTGACCATGAACAAAATGCTGCGATTGAGTTAAGAGTCCAAGCAAAAGACAAGGGTATTCCACCTAGGAGTACACGTTGTAAAGTCTTAGTTGAAGTTATTGATGAGAATGATAACACTCCAGAAATATCAGTGACGTCCCTCATTGACACTGTTCGCGAGGATGTGAAAACAGGCACAGCTGTTGCCTTAGTCACAGTCACTGACAAAGATGGGGGTAAGAATGGATTAGTTCAGTGTAACATTGCAGGCTCCTGTCCTTTCAAGTTGCAGTCTTCATATAAGAATTACTATTCTGTATTAGTCGATGGGCCACTTGACAGAGAACTTGTTTCACTGTATAATGTAACCATTGTTGCAACAGATGAGGGATCCCCACCTCTCTCCAGCACCAGTGTTATTAGTGTGCACATTTCTGATGTGAATGACAATGCGCCTCGCATTTCAGAGCCCATAATTGTGAATTTAAAAGAAAACAGTCCAGTTGGAGGTCATATTGCCAGCTTGACTGCGAATGATTTAGACATAAATGAAAATGCTCAGATGTCTTATTCATTGTTAGATGGCAATGATGGAATACCCTTATCCACAATGGTAAAAATGTACTCTTTAACTGGTGAGATATACAGCATGCAGTCATTTAACTATGAAGAAGTGAAAAAGTTCCAGTTCCAAGTTCAGGCCACAGACTCTGGTGTTCCTCCACTAAGCAGCAACGTTACTGTCAACGTTTTTATCCTGGATGAGAATGACAACAGTCCTGTGATTCTCCCGCCCTATTCTGACCACGGCTCCGTTAATTCTGAGAACATTCCCTATTCTGCTGAAGCGGGCTACTTTGTGGCCAAGATCAGGGCTGTAGACGCAGACTCTGGTTATAATGCGCTGCTTTCTTATCACATCTCTGAACCAAAGGGGACCAATCTATTCAGAATTGGAACCAGCAACGGAGAAATAAGGACTAAGAGACGCATGAGTGACAATGACCTAAAAACTCACCCGTTGGTCATTCTGGTGTCTGATAATGGAGAACCTTCCCTGTCTGCGACTGTGTCTATTGATGTTGTGGTCGTTGAAAGTACAGGTGACATGCAAAAAACGTTCAGACAACTGCCTGTTAAGGATGAGATTTTCTCAGATTTAAATCTGTATCTGCTCGTCGCTATTGTGTCAGTATCAGTGATATTTCTACTGAGCCTCATCAGTTTAATAGTTGTAAAATGCCACAGGACAGACGGCAGTTTCAGCAGGTACTGCGCCCCAATGATCACCACACATCCTGACGGGAGCTGGTCTTACTCCAAATCTACTCAGCAGTATGACGTGTGTTTTAGCTCTGATACAATGAAGAATGACGTAGTAGTTTTCCCCACGCCGTTTCCACCTGCTGATGGTGAGCTGATCAGTATTAATGGAGGAGACACTTTTCAAAGGACACAAACACTTCCCAACACAGAGAAGGTAAGGATAACTTTTTATTAGGAATATTTTTTTGTAATGGTTTTGTGTATTTAATTTTTTTACTGACATTATTGTCTTGTGTGAAATTAAGTCCCTTCTAACTTGACAAATGTAATGGGTACGGTATAGTTTGGGTAAAATTCAGCTCCAAATTGATGCAGCATGTAGCTTTTCAATTCAACACCATGGACAGCGACATGTGGCTACTTTGGTTAGTGTCAGTCTCATTCTTGCTCACGTTTTCTAGATAAAACTGCAGCAAAGTTGTGTCGTATTCTCCTCTAACAGATAAAGGTATGAACCTGTCAGAACATTGTAGTTTTTAGTTGTTTAATGTAAAACTGAAAACTGTAAAGACATTTAAATGTAGGCCTATGTGCACACCACTAAGGTAAGGTAAGCAAGAAGTTACATTTTTGGAGGAAAGTGTTGTTCATTGGATACATTTGTTTGTTTGTTTTGTAGGCATTCCTTATGTTATATCTATATATAGGTTTTATTATTAGTTAGACTGTCTTGTACACATTCATAGATAAAAGCTGAATTACAGTATACCGACAAAAATGTGAAAAAAATAAAAAGGAGATTCAAGTTAGTTGAAAAATATAGAGAGTAAAGTGTAGTCTTGATAGCTTCGGATGGTGCCTGCTCTTGGTTAAGGCCTCTATTTGTCTGGCAGCCGAGTTGGATTGTACTAGCCTTGGAAGGGACAGGTTTAATGATGGTGGTGGTGGAGCTGGAGTTGGCTAGCCGGTCCTGACGTTGTTCTCAGTCCCCAGCCCTCTGTAGTCACTGAACGACTCCTCCACTATCGATGTGTAGCACCCATTTGGGTGATGCTTCTTCTGCTGCCGATACTGGCGCTAAAAGCTCACCACACATCAGTCCAGTGTAAAGTCACCCGCTGCCATCTCTACACTGCAGTCCTGTCACTTTGGGTGGGGGTAACTAGAAGCCGGTGGTGCTGAATGCATATTTTGAATGCAAACAGTAGACCGCTATAGCTAGTTAGCTAGCTAGTTTAGCAAAGCAAGCAAATCGATCTGCTACCATGTATGCAATTCTGTTGATACCAATATTTCGATTAACGAAGATACTACATTTTTACTAATTTTAAAGAAAAAACAACAGTAAAAGCACGTGGTGTTGCTGTAAACCGTGATTATATTGTGTTGATCGGGTTCCTCCTTCCTCCCCGAACTTCCACTGCTCAAGGTACAGTCAAGCGAGTTTGGTGAGACGAGAATGACCTTGAGATGTACTGTATGTAGAAAGAACCGTGGTATACTAATCGAGAGATTGTTCTTAACGATACTTTGCAATATAATGAATCTATCATAAACAACTTAGGCCTACAGAAGAATCAGGAGCGATGGGATAGCGATGGGCCTTTCCGGCATTGTGGATATTGTTGGATTCTGGTTGTGCTGCTTCTTGGTTTCTGGGATTTCTCTTCCAGTCAAATAATATATTTTGTCTCAGAGGAGGTGAACAAGGGAACCATTGTTGGGAATAAAGCCAAGGACCTCAATTTCAATGTTCAGGAACTGGAGTCTCGTATGTTTCAGATTGTATCCGGATCCAACAAGAAGTATTTTGATGTGAACCTGAACACTTTTGTTTTGTTTGTGAATGAGAGAATCGATCGTGAAGAGTTGTGTGACACCAACGTGCAGTGTTCTTTGAATGTACAGGTCCTTGCGCACAATCCTCTGTAGCTCAGTTGGTAGAGCATGGTGCTTGCAACGCCAGGGTTGTGTGTTTGATTCCCACGGGGGAATGACTAAATGACTAAAATGTAAATATTTTTCGGCCTGAAATTGAGATATTGGACACAAATGATAATGCACCTGGTTTCTTAGAAAATTCCCTGACATTAAATGTTTCCGAAAACGGCGCTGCAAAAGAGTGATTTCTTCTGCCAGTGGCTGAGGATGCGAATGTTGCATTAATTCGGGAAAACCTACAAGCTGAGTCCGAATTAACATTTCTCTCTGGAAGTACAGAGCGGTGGAGAGCAGAGTGTGTCTAACGCGTTGGTGCTACAGAAGCTTTAGACAGAGAGAAGCAGGCTCTGATAAAGCTCATACTAACTGCTGTTAATGGAGGAAAACCTCCTTCGATCCGGGACATTACAGACCATTGTACATGTCATGGAAATAGATGACAACAATCCACATCTCAGCAAACCTCTCTACAAAGTGAAAGTTGCAGAGAATGTTTTCATTGGAACCAAAATAATATATCTCACTGCATTAGATTTGGATGAGGGTATCAATAGTGACATTGTTTACACTTTTGTTGGCAACAGTTATGAAAAAGGATCTAGTATATTTGCTATTGACACGCATACTGGGGATGTATCAGTGAAAGGTCATGTCAATTATGAAGAAAACGTTGGGATTGAGTTGCGTGTCCAGGCTGCAGACCAAGGCCAACCTCCAACATCTACTCATTGTAAAGTGTTGGTGGAAGTAGTCCATATAAATGACAATGCTCCATAGATAGCAATAACATCACTCATGAGCACAGTAAGAGAGGATGCCAAGTCTGGCGCTGCTGTTGCTTTAGTAACGCTGTCAGATAAAGATGAGGGTGAAAATGGAAAAGTGACTTGTCAGATAAGTGGTACTGTTCCTTTCAAACTGCAGTTTTCTTATAAAAATCACTACTCTTTAGTTGTAGACGGGCCTCTGGACAGAGAGAAATGTTCTCAGTACAATATCACTATTATTGCTATGGATGAGGGGACCCCACCTCTCTCCATCACCAGTGTTGTTACTGTACACATTTCTGAAGTGAATGACAACCCACCCCGTTTTCCAGAACATCTTATTAACGTGTATTTAAAGGAGAATAGTCCAGTGGTAGGTCTGATAGTGTAAATGCGTATAATTAAGATGAAATTGAAAACGCGTATCTATTCTATACCGGAAAGTAAAAGTGATAATATATCGCCCTCCACAATAGTCAACATTAACTCCATAAGTTGTGAAATATACAACAGTTAGTCTTTTAATTATGGTTTTCCTCCACTAAGCAGCAACGTCACTGTCAACGATTTTATCCTGGATGAGAATGACAACAGTCCTGTGATTCTCCCGCCCTATTCTGACCACGGCTCTGTTAATTCTGAGAACATTCCCTATTCTGCTGAAGCGGGCTACATTGTGGCCAAGATCAGGGCTGTAGACGCCGACTCTGGTTATAATGCGCTGCTTTCTTATCACATCTCTGAACCAAAGGGGACCAATCTATTCAGAATTGGATCCAGCAACGGAGAAATAAGTACTAAGAGACGCATGAGTGACAATGACTTAAAAATTCACCCGCTGGTCATTTTGGTGTGTGATAATGGAGAACCTTCCCTGTCTGCGACTGTGTCTATTGATGTTGTGGTTGTTGAAAGTACAGGTGACATGCAGACAACTTTCAGACAACTGCCTGTAAAGGAGGAGAGTTTCTCAGATTTAAATCTGTATCTGGTCATCGCCATTGTGTCAGTATCAGTGATATTTTTACTGAGCCTCATCAGTTTAATAGTTGTAAAATGCCACAGGACAGAAGGCAGTTTCTGCAGGTACAGCGCCCCAATGATCACCACACACCCCGACGGGAGCTGGTCTTATTCCAAATCTACTCAGCAGTATGACTTGTGTTTTAGTTCTGACACACTGAAGAGTGACGTAGTAGTTTTCCCCACGCAGTTTCCACCTGCTGATGGTGAGTTGATCAGTATTAATGGAGGAGATACTTTTCAACGGACGGGGACTCTGCCAAAGAGTGAGAAGGTAAAGAGAACTGACAAATTATTATAATCTATAAAGTTTTTCAATTAAACATTCTACTTTTTTGTTTAATTGAAAAACTTCTAAATCCTTTCTTAGTTGTTGAGACAGTCCAAATTGTAAATGGTTACGGTTTTGATCAGGTAAAATACAGAGCCAAAAAAAAAAAGGTGTTTAGCGTTTCAATTCAGCACCAGGGACAGCGACATACGGCTACTTGCTTTGGTTTGGGTCAGCCTCATTCTTCGTCACAAGATTTTGGCAGCAAAGTTGCTTTCTATTCTTCTCTTTTGGTTGATTTTGTGAACCTGACAAAATATTGTTGTTTTTGGTATGGTAAAAACATAAATGTCTGGCGGACATTTATGTTAGATTATTATCAGCAGCCACATTGAAGTTTCACGGGTAATTTTGTAACCACATATTGTCATATGCTAGCTAGTCTGTCACTACATAATATACTTGGTCATGTTAGCGAAGGCCGCAGAACTCTTAGCCTAATTGTTTGGATACCCATGCGTAATTACGCATAACCAACAATACTTTTTTTTTGCAGGACGAAAATGCGTTTTTGTCATAATTTCGACCTTTGTTTGAAATAGTACTCTATTAAGGTCTAACTTTGGCCACAAATGATTCGTTAAGAGTCACGGTGGTGCAGATAGCATACTTCCAGTGTTGCCAATAGGTTTTGCGCTGTATACATACAAAAACACATGATGTCGCTGTTGACCATGAAAGTTATTTATATCAGGCGGAATGGTTGGACTCCTCCTCCTGTGAATACTGTAAAAAGGTTTCGAGTTAAAACCAGTGATGGGCATTTCGAGGAGAGAATGGTGATATTGCATCCAAGTCCACTGTACTAGGCTATATAGATTAGTTGTGAATATAGTCATATTTAGTTGGACATTATTACTATGATCATCGTTACCTTGTGCAATGATGGATCTGTGTAACAATAGAAGACGTGTTTGGATACAGTTTCTTCTGCTGCTTTGTTCATGGGGATTGTGTTCCGGACAATTCGTATATTCCGTCTCAGAGGAGGTTGATAAAGGCACATTTGTTGGAAATATCGCCAAAGACCTCAATCTGAACGTGCGGGAACTGGAATTGCGAGAGATTCAGATTGTAACCGGATCCGAAAGAAGGTATTTTGATGTTGACACAAAGACAGGAGTTCTTTTTGTGAATGACAGAATTGACAGAGAGCCTCTCTGTCCGAATTCCGTAAAGTGCTCCATAGCTGTAGAGGTCATATTAAATAATCCTGTACATATTCATCGTATTGAAGTGAACATTTTGGACATAAATGACAACGTACCATTATTTCTAGAAGGCATTCACGTTGTCAATATAACTGAATCTGCTTTTCCAGGCGACAGATTTTCATTACCGTTCGCCAGTGACGCGGATGTTGGCAGTAACTCGGTTAAGAGCTATAAACTGAGCCCAAATGAACACTTCTCTCTGAATGTTCAGAGCGATGGAGACCATGGTGTGTCTGCTGAGTTGGTGCTACAGAAAGCTTTAGACCGAGAAAAACAGGCTGTGATCAAACTCTTACTGACTGCCGTTGATGGAGGGAAACCATCACGATCCGGGTCCCTACAGTTAGTAATTAATGTGATAGACGTGAATGACAATACTCCAACTTTCAGCAAGCTTTTGTATAAAGTTCAAGTGATAGAAAATGTTGCACCTGGAACTTTAATTCTGACCTTAAATGCCACAGATTTAGATGAGGGGGTGAACGGTGAGATTGCATTTTCATTCACTGATAAAGGTGAATTTAATCGTGTTTTTGCAATCAACCAGCACACAGGTGAAATAACAATTAAAGGGGGGTTAGATCACGAGGAGAACCCTGCGTTTGAAGTTCGTGTTCAAGCAAAAGACAAAGGCCATTCACCAAGGAGTGCCCTTTCTAAAGTCCTAATTGAAATACTTGATGTGAATGATAATGCGCCCGAGATAATAGTGACATCGCTTCCTGGCGCGGTCAGAGAGGATGCGAAGAAAGGAACAGTTGTGGCGTCAATAACTTTGGTTGACAAAGATGGTGCTAAAAATGGAATGATCAAATCCGACATAATTGGAGATGTCCCTTTTAAATTACAGTCTTCCTATAAGAACTATTACTCTTTAGTGGTAGACGGGCCTCTAGACAGAGAGAGTGTCTCTCTTTATAATGTAACTATTAAAGCCACTGATGAGGGGACCCCACCTCTCTCCAGTACTAGTGTTATTACTGTACACATTTCTGATGTGAATGACAACGCCCCGCGCTTTCCAGAGCCCATAATTAACTTTTATATAAAGGAGAATAGTCCAGTGGCGGTTTGTGTTGGCAGCGTGACAACAAATGACCCTGATATAAATGACAACTCTCAAGTGACTTATACTTTATCAGAAAGCAAAAAAGACTCACATTTGTCAACATTTTTAAACTTAAATTCTCTAACTGGCGAGTTGTTCAGCATGCAGTCGTTCAACTACGAGGAGACGACAACATTTCAGTTTCAAATTCAAGCCACAGACGCTGGTGTTCCTCCACTAAGCAGCAATGTCACTGTCAGTGTTTTTATCCTGGATGAGAATGACAACAGTCCTGTGATTCTCCCGCCCTATTCTGACCACGGTTCCATTAATTCTGAGAACATTCCCTATTCTGCTGAAGCGGGCTACATTGTGGCCAAGATCAAGGCTGTAGACGCAGACTCTGGATATAATGCGCTGCTTTCTTATCACATCTCTGAACCAAAGGGGACCAATCTATTCAGAATTGGAACCAGCAACGGAGAAATAAGGACTAAGAGACGCATGAGTGACAATGACTTAAAAACTCACCCGCTGGTCATTCTGGTGTCTGATAATGGAGAACCTTCCCTGTCTGCAACTGTGTCTATTGATGTTGTGGTCGTTGAAAGTACAGGTGAAATGAAGACAACTTTCAGACAACTGCCTGTTAAGGAGGAGAGTTTCTCAGATTTAAATCTTTATCTGCTCGTCGCCATTGTGTCAGTATCAGTGATATTTCTACTGAGCCTCATCAGTTTAATAGTTATAAAATGCCACAAGACAGACGGCAGTTTCAGCAGGTACAGCGCCCCGATGATCACCACACACCCTGACGGGAGCTGGTCTTACTCCAAATCTACTCAGCAGTATGACGTGTGTTTTAGCTCGGACACACTGAAGAGTGACTTAGTAGTTTTCCCGACACCGTTTCCATCTGCTGATGGTGAGCTGATCAGTATTAATGGAGGGGACACGTTTCCAAGGACTCGAACGCTGTCAAATATTGAGAAGGTAAGGAAGGCTAACCTTTCATAACAAATTTTGTTTTTGTCATTGCATTGTCGGTTTTTTTTCTGAGAAGTTATTATTATCTAGCGCACACATTCTACATATTTTTCATGAATTGTTCTCTTTTTACTTGATGAGACAGTTGAAATTGTCTGGGTAGGGTTTTGGTTAGGTAAAACATAGCTCTTAATTGATTAGGTGTTTGGTGCTTTAATTCAGCACCATGGACAGCGACAGTAGGCTACTTGCTCTGGTATAGTGCCTTCAGAAAGTATTCACAACCGTTGACTTATTCCACATTTTGTGTTACAGCCTGAATTCAAAATGGATCAGATTTTTTATTTTTTTTCCCTCACCCATCTACATTGATCACAATATAGTAGCCATATGTAGGAAAACCAAAGCTCCAAAGGCTGGGCCTAATATAGTGTATAAGAGGTCATACAATACGTTTTGTAGTTGTTGTTTTTGTAATGTAAATAATATTTGTTGGTGCGTGGTGTGTAAGGCGATATGACATTAAGAATGATAGTAAAATGCTTTGGAGCACCTTAAATGAAATTTTTGGGAAAAATACAATCTCAGCTCCATCCTTCATTGAATCAGATGGCTCATTCATCACAAAACCAACTGACATTGCCAACTACTTTAATGATTATTTCATTGGCAAGATTAGTAAATTTAGGCATGACATGCCAGCAACAAACGCTGACACTACACATCCAAGTATATCTGACCAAATTATGAAAGACAAGCATTGTAATTTTGAATTCTGTAAAGTGAGTGTGTAAGAGATGAAATAATGATTGTTGTCTATCAACAATGACAAACCACCGGGTATTTACCATATTTTCAATTTAAGCCTACTAGAATGTGTGTGCCCCAAGGCTTGGAGGGAAGCAAAAGTAATTCCGCTACCTAAGAATAGTAAAGCCCCCTTTACTAGCTCAAATAGCCGACCAATCAGCCTGTTACCAACCCTTAGTAAACTTTTGGAAAAAATTGTGTTTCACCAGATACAATGCTATTTTACAGTAAACAAATTGACAAGAAACATTCAGCACGCTTATAGGGAAGGACATTCAACAAGCACAGCACTTACACAAATGACTGATGATTGGCTGAGAGAAACTGATGATAAAAATATTGTGGGGGCTGTTTTGTTAGACTTCAGTGCGGCTTTTGACATTATTGATCATAGTCTGCTGCTGGAAAAACATATGTGTTATGGCTTAAAACCCCCTGCTATATTGTGGATAAAGAGTTACCTGTCTAACAGAACACAGAGGGTGTTCTTTAATGGAAGCCTCTCCAACATAATCCAGGTAGAATCAGGAATTCACCAGGGCAGCTTTCTAGGCCCCTTACTTTTTTCAATCTTTACTAATGACATGCCACTGGCTTTGAGTAAAGCCAGTGTGTCTATGTATGCGGATGACTCAACATTATACACGTCAGCTACTACATCGACTGAAATGACTGCAACACTTAACAAAGAGCTGCAGTTAGTTTCAGAGTGGGTGGCAAGGAATAAATTAGTCCTAAATATTTCTAAAACTAAAAACATTGTATTTGGGACAAATCATTCACTAAACCTCAACTAAATATTGTAATTATTAATGTGGGAATTGAGAAAGTTGAGGTGACTAAACTGCTTGGAGTAACCTTGGATTGTAAACTGTCATGGTCAAAACATATTGATACAACAGTAGCTAAGCTGGGGAGAAATATGTTCATAATAAAGCTATGCTCTACCTTCTTAACAGCCCTATCAACAAGGCAGGTCCTACAGGCCCTAGTTTTGTCGCACCTGGACTACTGTTCAGTCGTGTGGTCAGGTGCCACAAAAAGGGACTTAGGAAAATTGCAATTAGCTCAGAACAGGGCAGCACGGCTGGCCCTTGCATGTACACAGAGAGCTAATATTAAAAATATGCATGTCAATCTCCCCTGGCTGAAAGTGGAGGAGAGATTGACTTCATCACTACTTGTATTTATGAGAGGTATTGACATGTTGAATGCACCGAGCTGTCTGTTTGAACTACTGGCGCACAGCTCGGACACCCATGCATACCCCACAAGACATGCCACAAGAGGTCTCTTCACAGTCCCCAAGTCCAGAACAGACTATGGGAGGTGCACAGTACTACATAGAGCCATGACTACATGGAACTCTATTCCACATCAAGTAACTGATGCAAGCAATAAAATTAGATTTAAAAAACAGATACAAATACACCTTCTGGAACAATGGGGACTGTGAAGCAACAAAAACATAGGCACAGACACATGTACAGTGGGGGAAAAAAAGTATTTAGTCAGCCACCAATTGTGCAAGTTCTCCCACTTAAAAAGATGAAAGAGGCCTGTAATCTTCATCATAGGTACACGTCAACTATGACAGACAAATTGAGATTTTTTTTCTCCAGAAAATCACATTGTAGGATTTTTAATGAATTTATTTGCAAATTATGGTGGAAAATAAGTATTTGGTCACCTAAAAACAAGCAAGATTTCTGGCTCTCACAGACCTGTAACTTATTCTTTAAGAGGCTCCTCTGTCCTCCACTCGTTACCTCTATTAATGGCACCTATTTGAACTTGTTATCAGTATATAAGACACCTGTCCACAACCTCAAACAGTCACACTCCAAACTCCACTATGGCCAAGACCAAAGAGCTGTCAAAGGACACCAGAAACAAAATTGTAGACCTGCACCAGGCTGGGAAGACTGAATCTGCAATAGGTAAGCAGCTTGGTTTGAAGAAATCAACTGTGGGAGCAATTATTAGGAAATGGAAGACATACAAGACCACTGATAATCTCCCTCGATCTGGGGCTCCACGCAAGATCTCACCCCGTGGGGTCAAAATAATCACAAGAACGGTGAGCAAAAATCCCAGAACCACACGGGGGGACCTAGTGAATGACCTGCAGAGAGCTGGGACCAAAGTAACAAAGCCTACCATCAGTAACACACTACGCCGCCAGGGACTCAAATCCTGCAGTGCCAGACGTGTCCCCCTGCTTAAGCCAGTACATGTCCAGGCCCGTCTGAAGTTTGCTAGAGTGCATTTGGATGATCCAGAAGAGGATTGGGAGAATGTCATATGGTCAGATGAAACCAAAATATAACTTTTTGGTAAAAACTCAACTCGTCGTGTTTGGAGGACAAAGAATGCTGAGTTGCATCCAAAGAACACCATACCTACTGTGAAGCATGGGGGTGGAAACATTATGCTTTGGGGCTGTTTTTCTGCAAAGGGACCAGGACGACTGATCCGTGTAAAGGAAAGAATGAATGGGGCCATGTATCGTGAGATTTTGAGTGAAAACCTCCTTCCATCAGCAAGGGCATTGAAGATGAAACGTGGCTGGGTCTTTCAGCATGACAATGATCCCAAACACACCGCCCGGGCAACGAAGGAGTGGCTTCGTAAGAAGCATTTCAAGGTCCTGGAGTGGCCCAGTCTCCAGATCTCAACCCCATAGAAAATCTTTGGAGGGAGTTGAAAGTCCGTGTTGCCCAGCGACAGCCCCAAAACATCACTGCTCTAGAGGAGATCTGCATGGAGGAATGGGCCAAAATACCAGCAACAGTGTGTGAAAACATTGTGAAGACTTACAGAAAACGTTTGACCTGTGTCATTGCCAACAAAGGGTATATAACAAAGTATTGAGAAACTTTTGTTATTGACCAAATACTTATTTTCCACCATAATTTGCAAATAAATTCATTAAAATCCTACAATGTGATTTTCTGGATTTTCTTTTCTCATTTTGTCTGTCATAGTTGACGTGTACCTATGATGAAAGTTACAGGCCTCTCTCATCTTTTTAAGTGGTAGAACTTGCACAATTCGTGGCTGACTAAATACTTTTTTTCCCCACTGTCTACACACACTGTCAGCGGGTGCTGTAGGTGGGTGTGGTGTGGGAATCAGGCGCAGGACGCAGAAGATAAGTCCAAAAGACTTTAGTAATGCACACTCAAAACATGATCCAACAGCCCGGAGGCGAGAAAATGCGCACACAGGCGTAAACAAAAGGGCGCACTAAACATGTGCGAAAAATACTCTCCTACACAAAGGAGGCAAGCTACAATAGCGCACTGTAAATAGTAGCGCACCAACACGACAGCGAAAACAATCACACACAACACCTGACAAACACAACGAGAACTTATAGGACACTAATGACGCTAAACGACAACAGGTGTACATAATCCAGACAAAACCAAACGAACATAGAAACATACAACGGTGGCAGCTAGTATTCCGGAGACGACAAACGCCGAAGCCTGCCCGAGCAAGGAAGAGAGGCAGCCTCGGCCGAAACCGTGACAGTACCCCCCCCTTGACGCGCGGCTCCAGACGTGCGCCGACTCCGGCCTCGGGGACGACCAGGAGGACGCGGAGCAGGGCGCGTCGGGTGACTACGGTGGAATTCTGTCAGGAGAGACGGGTCCAAAATGTCTCTCCTCGGTACCCAGCACCGTTCCTCCGGGCCGTACCCCTCCCACTCCACCAGATATTGGAGACCCCCCATCCGACGTCTCGAATCCAAGATGGACCGCACGGAGTACGCCGGTGCCCCCTCGATGTCCAATGGGGGCGGAGGAGTCTCCTTGATCTCATTTTCCTGGAGTGGGCCAGCTACCACCGGCCTGAGAAGAGACACATGGAACGAGGGGTTAATACTTTTATACTCAATAGGTAGTTGTAATCTGTAACACACCTCGTTCAATCTTCTCAGGACTTTAAACGGCCCCACAAACCGCCGACCCAGTTTCCGACAGGGCAGGAGGAGGGGCAGGTTTCTGGTAGAGAGCCAGACTCGATCACCAGGTGCGTACACCGGTCCCTCACTGCGGTGGAGATCGGACAAGCCTTTTGACGACGGAGGGCCCGCTGCAGGTGGACGTGTGCAGCGTTCCACGTCTCCTCCGAGCGCCGCACCCACTCATCCACCGCAGGAGCCTCGATCTGGCTCTGCTGCCAAGGTGCCAGAACCGGCTGGTAACCTA